CTGTGCAATCATAGATGTCTGGGAGATATAACTCTGGCGTGCTAGTGTTTCCAGTTTTCATAGACTGTTTATACAGTTACACAGTTTCATTTAAAGAATGAATGTATCAACATACACTGAGTGATGTGTTGATTCGCTGTAAATCAGCACGTGAGGTGAAGCGTATAAAGTCCCAGCTTGTATTGATCTGCATCCTGTTGTGCTAATAAATTAGCTGAGCCGTGTAATGTGGTTAAGTGTGTAGTGGTGGATGTTGTGTCATTTTATGAATTGTTAAACTGTAGGCGCTCACATTCACTCGCCACATTTTCTTCACTGCTGATGTACGTTAAAACCGGTATTTTCTAAATATAATAATCAACGTTAATAAACGTTGGGTTTGAGGAGATGCAGATCATTTCTGAAATCGCTGAAAAGCCGAGCTTATATTTTTAATCCGATAAAGTGGCAGTAATTCAAGATGTTTAAGTCAGTTGTTCCCAAACCTTTTTGGCTTGTGATCCTTTCTTGTTAACATGTTAAAACGCTTCAGTCTGGCTGTTTTAAGGCTTTTTCTTTGCTGCCCCCTTCTGTCCAGGCTCAATGCTAAAGCCCCAGGATGTTTCCTCTCTCCATGGAGAAACTAAAAAAATGTATTTAACTTTATAATCAGAGTTTGGTAAAGTCAAGCCAGTGATTCCTTCATGTGCGTCTTCCACCTGTGTGCTCTTTTAAATCTGAATACAATTCACAGCTAGTTTTACCTCTTTTTTTTCCGTCCTTCTTACCTGTGAATGTATCTGTTCTGCTGATTCTGAAGTAGAAAACCACCGGTATCAAGACGTAGCATTAAATGCAAAATCTGTCAAACCAATTCTGTTTGTTCAGTCTGGCTTCAGTCCTTCAACAAACATTCTGCTACTCAACTTTTTCAATTTATTTTCACATCTAAAACCTTCAAAAGAGGACAGAACATTTGTACAGAAGCTGTTATGAAGTAACAACAGTGAGCACAGTTCAGTGGATGTTTACAGAGAACTGCTCTGTGTTTCCAGTGTGTTGTTGTCCAGTTGTTGTTTGTTTTTTGGCATACAGTCATCCCAAATTGACAAAAAAATGTTTGTCTAGAATTGTGTTACACCTGACTGAGAGTTCTTAAGTGTAATGGCAGTAATTGATAAAGCAGCAACAGGACTCTCAGAACTACTTTGTCAACACAAATTATTTACAGAATATCAATTAGAAAAGCATCGAAGCACATTAATACAATCAAACCCGACTTTTCCCTCACTAGGGCAGTCTCAAAACTGATTTTGCATTGGGTCATGTTGAAAAGAAAATGTCAAGATTCCAGAGGTGAATAAAAAAAACAGACAGTGGTGACATATCTCTAACATATGTTTCTCTGCCATGACTTTTCTCTGATTCTCACAGACTCATTTCGACCCAGAGACACTGAAATATGCTGCACTACAGGCAACTCAATTAAATTAATTAGTACATTTGAACCATGTTGATCCCATATTTGGGAAATTCTTGCAGATATGCTGTTAACAGGCTGCCCCAAGCAGGAACCAAGCGTGTGGTTCCCCTGGGAATCAAACCCAGGACACTCTGCTCGCTGCTTCCGAGGCAGGCATGCTAACCGCTACACTATGGAACTGTTAGTCTATGGGATGAAATAGTATTTCACAACACAGCTGCTTAAAATAGACAGTGGTTAGCCTTGCCTTTTGTTCCGTTGCTTTCTGTTTCATACTGAAAAGGTTGAAAAGACATCACACAGAGACAGTGACAAGGGAAATAGAGTTGAAGGTTCATAGAAAGTAAATGGATTTCCTCGCAGTAGAATTTAATCATATGCCTCTGTGTGGTAGTTTTTTTCTTTGAGGAAGAAAAGTAAAAGATATGATTATAACATTGTATTCATGGCTTTGTAAAAAGTGCATTAGTGAATGTCACAGCACACGTCCCTGGGGTAAGACTGGCGCTCCAGAACGATGGATGATTCGTCCTCCGTATCATCAGCCCCCGTTGAATTAGGCTCCATGTTCACATAGTTCGGGATGTTGAAAGGAGACAGGGAGGCACACTCTCTGTCTGTCTTACTCTCATCCATTATTTCCTTCAGAGATGGGTGTCCTCCAGCTGCCTCGACATCCTCCTCTATGTCATCCATCCCAGAGTAGCTGGTGCCTCCGTTTTGGCTGCAGGTTCCCTGCTGGGCTCCTCCATCTTTGTGGGTCTTCCCCACTCCTGTGGCTCCTGTGTTTCGCTGCGTCCCCTCAGCCTGATCCTCCTCTTTGATGTAGAAATGAAAATACGAGTGGGGTCCCATCAGCAGTGGTCGAGAGAAGGCTTTTTCATTTCTTTGCTGTGACACGGTGAAGTCGACCATGCAGCTGCCAGGTTGTTGACGTTTTTCAGCCGAGTCTGAATTTCTGTTGTAATGAAATTTTAAAAAAGTCTACTGTGATTGATGCAGTGATAAGGAGCAGGACGAGAGTAAAAATAATCACTGTAAGCATCATTGAGTACAGTCTGTTATTACTGGTGTTCACAAGATGAGGGAAAATAGGAAGGGTGCAATTAACATGTTTTTGCCCTATATTTTTTTTACCTCATGCTATTTAATGATACATAATGTTGCTTGTTATTGTCAACCATTTCTACTTTAACCTCCATGTATTTACTCAGTTTATCACAACTGCTCAATTATCACGTTTTGTTTCCCCCCTGCTCCTGTTTCTGTTAATTTGCTAATGCTCGCCACAGTGCTTCATACACGGAAACGGGAAAACGGGAAAACGGGAGCTCCAGCTTCTTCCTGTTGTTACTCACTCTTGATGTGGAGCTCCTGTCTTGGTGAGCAGCGTGAGGACGAAGAACATGAAGATAACAAACACAGCCAGTCCCACCCAAAAGCCGATGACGATAGAGTCTGAAATATATATATATAAAAGGAAGCATTAATAACATGTAAGAAAATAAAGGTCTCTGGAAAAATTCCAATCATCTGACTGAGGTTAGATCCTAAAATTTTGATTGGAAGAAGATCCGGGTTGCCCTCTTATCTGGGATATCCATTTTTATTTGTATAAAAGGTAAAACAGTACAATATTATCCCCTGTTTCTCAGACTTGGATCTTAAAGAGTGAAGACTTTACTCCACTTTTAAACCACTTTAGACTCGGCCCAGTCAGCAAAAACCTTTCTTTTCTGACTTGACTACGACACAGTTTCAGAGCTGGGGAGGGGGTGGGGACAATTGCAGCACAAAGTAAAAATTAAATTTAGGGGTTGGAAGTCCTAGGACCCTGACTTAGTCTGTGATATGACTGTAGATTGAGCCTTAACCAAAGGGTATTATAATTAGCAGGGTAAATTATACAGGACCAGGGCATTTCAAAGACCAGATGTCAAGGCGTCTTAAAGAACCTGTGACACGTTTCTTCTGTTATTCTACAGCATTCCTCACTGTGAACTCCTAGAAGCTTTTTTTGTGGTCACTCATTACAGCTCTTTGTTTGTAATAACAACAGAGCAGCAGTGTTCCAAAGGCCGACTAATGACGCCAAAACATCATTAACTTGGAGGGGTCGGGGGGGGGGGGCATTATGAGTTACATCATGTCATTGTCATTCAAACATGAGTTGTGCAAAACAAAAATAAGGGGCTGCATGTACTGCAGTGGTGACTTGGTGGTTAAGGAAGCAGACTTGGGGCTGGAAGGTTTCAGTTTCGACTCCACCAGCTGACAAGTTACCACCGGGTGATTAAGGTGCTGCCCCCTGCTGACTTAGGTGATGGGTAAAATGCAGAGGTCACATTCCGTTGCGTGTGCAGTGGTGTGTTATAGTTCACTTTTACACATGTGCATATATTTTCATCTTGTTCTGGTAGGTTTTGGTTTTAGCGTTTCCTTATAAAAGATACTTTGGATCAGTGTATGTAAATAATTCTGAGTGATTTTTGTTTGACTCATGTCCTGGACGTAACTGGAAACACTGTTGCAATGTTACTTTTAAAATCTTGAATTGTGATTGTGGTTATTTTCTAGTCTGGTGTCTGGTCTGACAGTAAAACACATTGAACCATCCTTTACACACTGACACTCTGAGTAAATGCTGCTGCAGAATAAATAGTCCATCAATGTACAGACAGCCCAACAGTGCTTGTTATTCCTGAGGTTAGAGGCCGTTCTGTCTGTGATGTCCCTCATGACACCACACATCACTGCCTGCAGCGCTGCATCACTTCACGGACACCGTGCTCCTTAATGCACTGGAGAAAGTTCAGTATATGTTGGAGACTTGGAGAAAAACTGTATTAAAAATAGAAATTAGCAACAGAATAAATATAACACACGGAATCAATGGAGTGGAGTGTGAGGGTTCAATAATAAATGAGTGTAAAATTAGAATTAGACATGACTTATGCACACAGTTGTTCTCTGCCCGGATCTACGATCATACAGATGACACAGGACTTTGTTTTCTAACCTTAAGGAAGAAGAAGAAGAAGAATCACCTTTGACCTCTCTCTCTTTTTTATCAGGGGTTGCCAAGGTGGTCTGAAGTCTGAGTTTCTACACCCTTCCTGATGCACCCCTATCTGAACCTGGAGACTGTGAGGTAAAATCCATGTATTCATATTATCGCAAGTGGCGCCCCCCTGTGGAGGTCCCTGTGGATGGTTGTGGTCATCCTTGTAAAATAAAGGTAAAGATAAAGTAGGTGAGGCCATACGGAGCATTCTCACATAAAGCCTGAAAAAATTTGGTTTACAGAAATAATGAGGCTTGAATTATTTTATATGTAAATGATATATTTTCATGTATTTTCAGTTTATGTCACTGTTCCATTTTAAGACCCCAGTCTACAATCCTATTCATATAAATAGACAACAGCTCATTCACTCAGGGATCATACCATGCTACAATCCTATTCATATAAATAGACAAACAGCTCATTCACTCAGGGATCGTACCATGGATATTCATGCTGTAAGGCAAGCGCACTGACCACTCTTCCACTGTGTGGGCCCCTGTGTCCATAATTGTATAAAATACAAACACCAACATTTGTCCTAAATACATATTTACTTGAACTCGTACCAGAACCTATAGTGACTGAGGTCCCACTCCTCAGCAGGACCAGAATCTGATTCTCACAAGGTCCTAGAAAAACTATCAGTGAGTCATCAGGAGTGTTCTTAAATAGGTACCATAACAAAACACCACACACACAGAGTCACTACGGATTTATCTGCTTACATCTGTGCGCTTTCAGACCCTCAAAAGACACGGGCTCCTCGTCATCGTAATATTCGTACTGCCACACGTAATCGCCGCGTCGTGCGCTGGTTTGGCTCCGGTTGTGAAGGTCGGACATTTCGAATGTATATGCCTCGCTACAGCAGTTTACATCAACCCCGGGGAACACATTTCTGTTGAGACAAAACTACTCCAGGCTGCAGATGGCGCATTAAGTTCTTTTAAAAAAAAATCCAACCCGTAATTCCCTCCAACGACGCGTGTTTCCTGTGCGCAAATGTGGAAATCACTGGATGGAATTCTTGGATGTTCCTGCCCGCGTTCTCCCTGCTGAGCCTCGGAATTTAAAAAAGGGTGATGAGGAGCAGGATGATCGATGGCTTTACTCCCTCCGGTTCCGGCTTTAAATGATGAAAAGTCAGTGAGTTGGCGATGTTCAGTGCGCGTCACCGTCTCCATTCATCTGCACCGAGACTGAGACGTGCGCTCCACACACGCTGGCTATGACCGAGCCTCCAGTGGATGGAGGCTCGTACCCTGACCACGTGACAAAAAAGATAATTAAGACTTCTTTACTTCAGTTTACTCAGAGGAACATACGAACATACATATTTACCACGATTTTCATCGATTAATCGTGATAAATTGATTAGGTAGCACCGAAAATATGATGACAAAATGTTTATCAAATGTTATAACTTTAATGTCAAACAAGTTGTAAGTTTACAGGAATATATTGCATATATATATATATATATACAGTATATATATATAAATATATATATATATATATACTAGTTATTTCATAGTTTTATGACAAAAAACTTTTTGAGTTTTAGATGAAAAATGACTCTATTAAATTGGAACTGTGTTATAAATAAGGTATAAAATTCAATTCAGGCCACGGCCGGTGAAAAATGTGTACAGTGTGATAACACCGTCACTCCTGCAGGGCCCAGTATACAGTACTTAGAGTGAGGAGCATTTACACTATAGATGTGAAAGGTAAGATTTGGAGAAAATGTGCAGCCGACCCGACACAGAGGGTCTGTACCAGTTTCTTGGTTGCATCGAAAATGTGCAGCCGACCCGACACAGAGCGTCTGTACCAGAAACTCGCCTGAAACACGCCACAGAATAATAATAATAATAAATAAAAAAAACAGATGAAGAAGAATTGATCCAGTTAGACGTTTTACGTCACTGTGACTCTGCACTGGCCTTAATTAAGGAGGAGATGAGTTTGAAGTCTGGGTTCCTGAAAGGCTCTCCACAGTCCATAGTTTTTGCCCTGAAGATTCTTCAGATCAATAATGCATAACTAATTGGCACAGGCCAGACACGAGCCTCAGGGATCCTCCGCTCTCCTTCAAAGTGTTGCTTTGTTCTTCTGTGAGGACGCATCGAACACCATATCAGGAGCACAGCACCTAAAATAAAATAAAATAAATAAGTACTTCAGACCCACCATCACCGTCACAAACAGAACCAGTGTGAATATACTGTAGAACAGCAGTGTATAAAACAACTCAAAGACCTACTAACCCTGTTGGGAATGTGATTCCCCTGTGTACCACTAGAGGGGGCTCAAGTGCCACCAGTTGTAGGCGTACCCTACTTTGAAAACCACTGCTTCAGTGAAAACCCAATAAAAAGGTTTTGGCGAAATGAAACAAGTTCTCCAGTTTAATGTTGTAACGCATCATCATTCTGGCTGCTGGCCAAAAGTTTATATTATTTCATTCTCTAAAATATTTTTTTTTTCTGGCTGATGTTCATCCACCAATAGGATTTGTCTTGATTGGTGGCTTCAAGCCTCTGCAGGTTTGTCTCTGGCAGCCAGTATGTGTGTATGAGTGTGTGTTTCGATACTGACTGTAATTTGCATTCAGTATTCACCGCTGGTTAGACTGACAGAGCACACATTACGCAATCATTTAGTTTTAAATATGCATGTAATGGATTAGTTCAGTCCAACTGTTCTGTCGCTCCGAGGAAGGTTAGAAAACCGGGGAAACAGTCGCTCTCTGAGCTTCCACTGATGTGATAATGGAACAGGGTAATGGCTTGACATAAGAGGTCTTCAACAAGGAGCTGGAACAAGCCCTGCTGGTCTGTGGAGGAACTGCAGGGTGTTGTGTTTTTTTTAATGATTATTATTTGAGTGTTTTCCAGCCATTCTCTTTTCTACATAATTAATTGCACTTAATAACACATTTATTTTTAATGGCTCAAAACAACACATCAATTTATGCATAGCAGCTGCGCCGTCATTAGTCATTTCACATTTATACTTCAATTAAAGCCATTAATTGGATTGGCTTGTGTGCCAGAGAGTCATGCAGGTGACAGGTGATCTTGGCTACTGCAGTGGTGTTCTGAATTTGTATCAGTCACAATATTTTTGGCTTAGTATTGAACGCAAAATAACAAGGTTCTGTGTTATTCATGGTACCAGGTCCAGTTGAAGTCAGTTTGGGCGTCCTCAGCCCTGCAGAATGTCGATGACTCCTGCTTCACATTATTAATCCCAGGTTTCAGGATTTGACCCATGGAAGACAGTAGTATTGAGTTTTACTCTAACAGGCAAAAACCTCTGTCCTGCACGTTGGCTGTCGTCAATATGTGATGCTGAGCGCGACCTTTCACTGACTGTCTTCAAACTGTGAATCAAGAATTAACAGAAGTTAGCTTTCAAACCTGCTGCGAAGAACCCGCGAGGAGCTGATGCTGCTGGTGCTGGATGCTGCACTGGTCGACTCCAGAACACATCCACAGTCAGACTCCACAGCCGTCTGCCTAGGGATGGGATTTGTTTGGGTTTTTTTCGTCGGTTTTTAGAAATTATAATACTAGGAAGTCCTTCCAGCAGAGCAGAACTGTCTGAAGAACGTAAGTGTTCAGCTGCTTTGGACCGAGGGGGGAAAGGATTTTATCTGGAGGTGACAAACAGAAACCAGGGCTGTCTCTTTTTACCCTATATTTAAATATCCCTTCAAAGTTAGGTGCTTCCAGTACCAAGGCCACATGGGAAGAAGAGTTCATATTTTAACATGTATTAATCTCCACGCGCTCTTATGCTTCATGTTCATGTTGATGAAGGTGAGGATAAAAAAAACACTGAGTTTCTCTCCATAAACACAAACCGTTTGACTCCTGGTTTTCCCCCCACAGACTTTACCCCCGTGGCTCGTGCTATCTAAATTGATTCTCAGATGTGCTGTGATATTTTTCCGTGGTGAGGAGCCTTTCCTGATCTGGGTTTATCATCCCACACCAGAAGCAAGGTTGATATTAATGCAGAGGGAGGAAAAGAGCAGGCGCTCGTCTGTTGATCTTTTCCTTCCTTTGCTCCTGAAGTCTTTGTCCTCCACGGTCCCTGACTGCAGTGACTGTTAATTAAAGAGGCGGAGAGGTTGAGATAAGGTGTTTAAGGACTGGTCTGAAAAAACCCCAGCAGGGATTTAATAACAGACACTGGAGAACATTTGGCATTTACTGTGTATTGTGTTGTGAAATGTTGACCTTTACAAGTTTACTAGTCGCTTTATTAGTTATCCAGCTTTTTAATGTTAATGCTGTTGATGCACAGCATTTTCTATGATAATATTACTATAATTTTTCACTCCAGCTCATGTTTGTGTCACATTGTGGTATTTGTGTTGGTGCCGTAGTATCATTTAAAAAAAAGAAAAGCTGAAGGAAGTTTGTTTCAGGGCATTGATTTTATTAAATACTCCTTATTAAATGAGAGAAAACATTTGTTGGAGCAACATCTAACACAACACACAGAACACTGGCTAACCTTGTTCCACGACACCCGCGCCTCAAGTTAATGATATTATTTTTAAAAATGATTGAGACCATGTTTTCCTCCCATCCGTTTTCCGTAAATGATCTGAGTGACCCTCTGCACAGGGCTGTCCATTTCAGATTTATCAATTTCATGGCTCAGGTCAAGTAGTACTGGTCAAGCATTTTGTGACATTACTTTTAATTTGTCCTCTGTATCATGTTTATCTCCCCCCACCACCGGGAAACGGTTACCAAGGGAACACTCCAAACTTCTATTAAACCACGATGTGACTCACTCTGACTGAACTTCTGTGAATCGTACCAACTGGAGTCATAGGTAAGTCAGGACTCGCTCACAGAAGCAGCAGCAAAAACATATATTTGTTGAATCAAAAACACTGATGCATTCCTGATATACTGACGGAAAACAAAACAAGCCAAAATAGGTTTATTAATATCCTGAAGATCCGAGGCTCAAAACACACGGTTGACAAATCCCTCAGGCTTCTGTGTTAAACATCTGTATCAAACACCTTGACTAAATGACTGTATTATAAATCCTTTGAGAAGATGCTGTTTCCTTAATTAAAATGTAAATTAAAAAAAAACCCTCATCAGTTGGACTTTTTCTCTTACCTGCGACTGTGTTTCCTGTTAGATAACCTTCATACTTACTCATCAATGCAGCTGCTCAGAGGTCAAGGCTGCTGTGCCCTGGAATACATTGGAGAAATAATCCTGCATGACAACAGTTCGTTCGATGTGTCCGCTTCTAAATGACAAAGTACACGATCAATTTAAACCTAACCTGCCGAGCTCATTGGTCAGGGAAATATCCACTGTTTAATATCCACTGTCATTGGTCAGGGAAATATCCACTGTTTTTGTAAATCTGTATCAAAATCAGATTATTTCTTTTCCCTGATTTGTTACATCAGTAAAAAAGTCCCAGAGAGTTTATAAAGAGATTATGTTAGATTAAAACAATTACACAACACTTAAAGCCTTGGTTGTAGTCGGCTAGAGATAGATGAGGACGGGAATAGTCGAAGGTTGTGCAATAAAGTAGTTCAAATGTATTTAAAATAGAAACTGCTGTTACAGTATCTTCCATAATGGAAATAAAGATTGATAAGATACTCATTAAGTAGACGAAAATGTTTCATTTGGGAAACTGAGTGGCATCCAACTGCAGTATGTTTGTGGAAAGCTGCAGGAGTGTGATAACAGAGGGGGTCGGGAGGGGGGGGTGTTGAAACTGTTTTTTTGTTTGTTTGTTTGTTTTTTCTTGCCTGTGTTGCCATGGAGAGAGAATTGTGTGACATGACTTCAAGATTCAGAGAAGAGACAATCACTTGAGCAGAAGAGGGGGAATTAAATAGTAATAGACAACTGGACATGTTGAAGATGAAGTGAAAGTGGTTTCAGGGAAGGGTTCGTTTAGAAAAAGATGGGATTTGACCCATCAGACACTCCAGCAAGTCCAGCTTTGTGTTTTGGTGTTGACTCTAAAACCCCAGGATTTACTTCCTGTCTAAAGTCAAAGAGCTGGAATCAAACTCCTAACCTCTTAGCTGTGAGGCAGCCCCCAGCCCGCTGTCCTCTAGCTGTTCAGTGATGACGCAGCACCATCAAGCACATCCATTACAGTATGTGCAGGAAGGTAAAGTGAGGGATGTAAAAGGCAGGAAGTGACTGTAATCTGAAGACGATAATGAACGAGAACAAAGACCAATCACAGCTGCTGATGAGTCATGGCGTCATTTTCAACCACACGGACTGATTCACTGCAGGTTTATTATACTTATTTTTAGCAGGATGTAAAGTCAGGGATTTATTTGGTTCCTGAGGAGTCATTTGTCAAGTTTCTCCAAATCTAAATGAATTTTTAATTCACATTTGATCGTGGAAATTAGATTTGGTATATTTGTTTTCCAGCCAATGTATTTGAAAAAAAAAGTGTCACTTGATGACGCTCCCTTACAGTGGTTCCCACTTACATTTGTGTGTACGATGTATTATTATGCGTATTTACAGTGTCCTGTATGTAAAGAACATGAAGGTACACTGTTATGTTTCTTTTAAAACAAATACTTTAATAATGTTTTATCATCACATTCATTTTTTGAATCTCACTCCTGTTTATGATTATTCTATATTTCACCATGAATTCTACACTGGATATAAATAATAAAATCAAAAGGTTTTACAGTATTGGCACATCGAGTATAACACTATTCCCTGTGCTATTATAGAGCAGCATAAAGATCCACACTGCCCCCTACAGGAAAAGCGTGAGAAAAGACAAACCTTTTTCTTCAGTTAAAGTCGTGTTACCCAGATGACAAACTTTTGGACTTTGTCTTTGTATTTCTCTTCTTTTTGGTAAATTTCTTCCGTTTCTTCTTCTTCTGTTTTAATTGCAACAGTTTATGTTGCGTTTGAGGCGCTTTAGGATCTGCAGTTTTGTTGTTATTTGATTTTATTTTAATTTATTTAATAATTAAGTATACTTTCTATTTATGGTTTTCATTCGTCATTGCCATCTTTCAAATGCAATCTGTGCCCCCATCCCCTCTCCCCGACCCCTGGTGTTGGATAAATAAAGGGACTGACGCGTGTCGACCCCTCCCCACACCCCCACGAAGAACACGAGCCTCCTTCGTCAACACGACCCAGCGGGCACAGGCATCAGGGCACGTGTTTCTTCACACCTTGAGTCCAAATGGTTGGAGACAGAGAGTTACTGAAGGGGAGGGGGCTAGAGTTCAACCACTGTTGTTATTATTGTATTTATTTCTGATGGACACAATAAAGCATGAATATACAAAAGGCAGCATCTTAATATTTAAGTTGAAGTTAGTTTAATAATATATCTATATTTATAATATATCTGGGGACAAAGACAAACATATTTTCTGGATCTTTAGGGCTCAATATTCGTTATGTATGATATATATTTATTATTATTATTAATCCAAAATTAGAAACACGTGATATTTAAAGGCCATTTGACATTAATTCGTAGCAAAATCATTTTCTTGTATGAAGTTTTCTGTATATCCAAAATGAAGGAGTAAAGTGACCAAATGCTCGAAGTTTGCCGACGTGTGACTTTGCACCTCACCATCGTGGCGCATGGCGACACTTGGAGACGTGTCCAGGCGCAATTTGGCACCACAGCCCCCCTCCCGGACTGGGCTCTGGTATAAATAGAGATGTTTCCTCCTCTGCAGCCACACATCCTCTCTGGGACTGTACTGACTGACAGCAGGAAAACTAACTTCCACCAGGAATCATGGAAACTCTAACTGCGAACGGATTATCCTCTGTTTTTACTGGAAACAAGGCGGTTACGCAGCAGCGTCGTCTGTGGAGACCGTGGACCGTGGAAGAGGAGAAGAGAAGTGATTCACATCAGGTGGGTTTACACGACTGCTCTGGGCATTTGAAGGTTTTTAAAAATCTGAGTTTAAAAAAAAATCTAACAACTTCCTTCTCTCTGAAATTTCCAGATTCCTTCACTTCAAGGTGACTTTTCTGACGCCAAGTTTTCAAAAACGCTCCAAATCTCTCACCCAGTGAAGTAAGTCTGCTTTATTATTTACCATGAAAGAACACACGATGTCCAGCTGTGATGACCTCGTACTCATCGCTGTTTTCCTCTCTTTTTATAGGCTGTACTGGCCCAAGTCCAAATGCTTCGATTACCTGTACCAGGACGCCGAGATTCTCCTCCGTAACTACCCGGTCCAAGCGACCATCTGCCCGTACGAAGAGGGCAGCAGTGATGAGGAGAGTGATGATGAGGAAGAGGAGGACATGGACAAGGACATGGACATGGACTGTCAGTGAAGACTGACTGCGGACTGTTGTAGCCATTTAAAATCTAAAATATTTGTCTTAATTTATTAATTTCTGTAAATATGTGTATATAGATTATTTGTTTTTATTTCTACACCAAAGAAGAATGTAAATGTTTAAGTTATTAACCTCACATTTCTACCTCTATTTTGTATTTTGCTGAGCTCTGCAATAAAATACGTAAAATATATTTCCTTGTTTTGGGTCCGTTTGGTGTCTGGAGTGAAGTGAAAAACTTTTTTTAAATTTTTGGTGTCTGGAGTGAAGTGAAAAACTTTGATTTCATTTCATTAATTTATTTTTAACTTTAAGAGTCAACTTTCTTAAACTCCATCTGCCTGCTGTTCCCAGGGATAAGTGCAAAGCCATAAACGCAGCATTTCCTGCGCTTTAGCGCCTTCAGTGTGGAAAAACCGTGTCATGTGGAAGGTGCTAACTGAGCACATGTTGATCTGGAGTGTGTCACTGACAGGGGGAGGTTGGTAGAGCAACAAAACCTCCCTAAATGTCAAAAATTCACAATTTTTTTTAAAATATCCAGGATTGAATTGATGGCTAGTCAAAAATTACTAAAAATAATAAAGGGAAATTATCTTAAAAACAGCCAATAATCCAAGGGCACTAACGAAACACAGCCAATAATCCAAGGGCACTAACATGATTATTTCCCTCAAGATATTTATGAGAAAAACAATAAACACAGCCAATAATCCAAGGGCACTAGCGTGATTATTTCCCTTAAGATATTTATGAGAAAAATAATAAAATGCTAAAAAAAAAAAAAAAAAAGTAGCTAAAAGCTAGCCAGAGTAGAAAAGCTAAAGATTGAACTGGTCAGATTTTTTGAAATATCTAAATAAGGAAGAAAAAAGGGGAAACTGATTGTTTGAATGATTATTTCCCTCAAGATATTTATGCCAAAAACAATAAAATGCTAAAACATAAATAGCTAAAAGCTTAACAAGAACTTTGTTGAATTTTAGTTTAGTCAAGTCAAATTATTATTTTTTTAAGTACATTCATCCTGTGAGAGAACGATAAAGCAAACTTTCTGTCAAAAATTGGCTAAAAGTTAGCACAGAAGTCCTTACTGCACAGATGAGGCAGTGTAGATCCAGGACTTGACCAAAGGTGACCTTAAATGACCTGATTTGACCTGGAAAACGGTTTGATTGGTGCAAAATAAAAAATATAAAATCTAACCCAGATACTGAATCATGAAAATAAAACTTAAAACAGCAACAATTAACATTATATCATACAAGTGGAAATGTGTTTCTGTACACACTGCATTGTCTTCACAGCTCAAAGCCTCTAATTTCTGTGATGTCAGTGCGTTGTGCAGTTCTGACCCGTTGACCTCCTCACCTGACCCTGGTGTAGAGCCTCTACCATGGGAACCTGTAGCACCACCTTCAGGTGTTGTTCAGGGTGTAAAGCCTAGACACCTTCATGATGGGAGGACAGTGTGGCCCCAGACTGACAGGGAGGACAGTGAACTGCTGCTGACCTGCTGACCTCCACTGGGCTCACAGATTAAACCGGACTAATTCTCTTCGCTGACGTGGCCACTTTGTATAAAATAATGTATTTACCAAAGAGCAATCAATATCGAAATGTTATGTATTTATCAGACGTGAAGTGAAACCAAACCCTGGTTGTGCCTCACGGGGCAGGGGCAGATTTAATGGTGACTCAGGGTTACATTAAAGTTTTATTTTCAACATCACTGTGACTAAATTATCGTCCAGATTATGTTTCTAAGTTGTAAACAGCTGAATGAAGATCAGATCACCTCTGGACCCTGGTCTGGACTTTCCCAGCGTCTGGGTGACAGGGCTCAGAGTGTGTCACTTACTGAGGTGTGAGTTTTACTCACCTTCAGGGTTGAACATATAACACTTGGTGTGCACTGAGGCCCAGCCTGATGAACTTCTAACCTCTGCTGACCTGTGGTTTGTACATCATTGTTGGAAACAAGATCATGTCCATTAAAAATAATGTTTCTACACAAGTTATGAACTGAGTTACAATATCAGCAAGTAAAAATAAGTCTTCTCAGCTACAAGTTTATAATCACTATACCTCAAAGATACTAGGTGGTTAAGTGTGAAAATACTGGAAGAACAGGTTCAATCCCCTGTTGCCTAATGATATGTTTGTAAGGTGTGATTAGATTAAATTAAATTAGATCAGATTAGATTAGATTAGATTAGACTGGATGTGCTCTTTCTTTTTACTGTTCCACACAGCTCAGTGTAGTAGGAATATAAATAGTGGACGTTCAGAGTACACGCCAAAATATTATAATTATTTAAATTCCACACTAACAACTATTCAACCATTTATTTATTTATCAACAGTAGACCTGACCTGACCATGTGATCTTTGACCGGGGCAGATGGTGTGAACCCAGACACCAGAGGAGGTGGTGGAGTGTGACTTATCTGAGCTGAGCCTCAGCCTGACTCAGTGCCTTCCCACAGTCACACCTCTCCTAGTCACAGTCACAGACCTGGTCGTCAGGGCAACCGAGGTTTTCACTGTTTTATTCATTTCTAAATGGTAACAGTTTTGGAACCAGCATCGTGGTTTGTTTTCTGTATTTGTCAACTCCCCCTGTTGGTTTGTCTCAGTATGTTTGAAATGAAAAGTAAGTAAATTATTAAACATGTCACTTAATCAAACACCTAGTTTTCATTTCCACGCTCCTTGTAATTTAACAGAGGTGTAGATTTTTATATATACCTTTATATTAATATCAGAAACGATTTGGTTGTTTTTGTCTCTTGACTTAAAAGCTGAGCAGAAAAGTTCATTAGTTCACACACGGTGTTACAGTTTGACCCTGGAGGTGAGCAGGATTCACACCTGAGTCAGTGACACTTAACAAGTTGGGTCAAAACCTTGGGAAAGTTCAGACCAGGACTGAAAAGGTTATCAGAGGAATCACCAGGTCATGTATCAGTCTGTGTCTGGATGTTAGGACCGCCTTTAAATAAATAAAACATATATATATATATATAGTTATATTAATAATAATACATCTCGGCCGATCTCGACATATTGTTTTGTGCTTCAAAAAATATCTTCATAGATCCTTAACTACCAGGCCAAATGGAAACAGAGAAAGAAAAAAGAACACATTGATTAGCAACGTAAATCAGATTGTATCACAATAACAGTTATATCTTGAAACGTTCGACGAACGTCCTTTAAGTTTCATATCTGTCGTGTTATTTAATTTGTTTTTTTGTTGTTTTTTTGTTTTTGTTTGTTTTTTTATGGATTCTCCAGCTGTAGTTCAACCTTAAACCAAAGGGGACGCTGTACTCCTGCCTAGGTACTGTACATCTTATCAAAGATAAACACGGTCAAAAGGTAAACACGGACCGGAAATACTATTGGTTTACATCCGTGTTCTTCATGAGCTGATCACTGACGCCAGAGTAAGTAGTGTTTTATGTTATAAAATATATGTAATAAGAATAATGTTTCGTAAACACAATGTGAATTAAATTTTAATTAGTGCACTGACAGATTTTCGTCTTTCAATTTTATCGATAATATAAAATGAATATAAATGTGACCCAAACATTTAGCCTCCGGTGTCTGTTAGTTGTTCACAGTAGTTTTACCTCACGAATATAGCTTCAAATACAATGGAACAGATCAATAAGACGTTTTTTGTTTTGTTTTTTCATTTTAACACGGTTTATTAAGAGACACCTGTTACAAATTTAACGTCACAATAATCACATTTACGACACCAGAGCAGTAGATGGCGTAAGTTAGCCAAATATGGAAAAACACTTTTCGCCTGGCGTCTGAGCATGCAGCTTTGCAAAACGAAGCCACTAGGGGTCAGTGTTGCGTCTATGGAACTACCAGGAACAAGTCCTGGTTTATAATAACTAATAAACGTCAAAGTATTAAATACAGTAAAAAAGATTTCAAAGTAAAAATATAAATCTACACTATCTTATTTTCCTTTTTAAGTGTATTGCATATTTAATTGTTGTTGCCTTTTTAACTCTTAGTAGTAGGCAGTACCTTTGAAGTACAATAGATATTTTAATGTTATTTCTTAAAAAGAAAATTAAATCTTTCAATGTTTACTTTCTCAAACATGTGGGTTTTTTGTTCATTCCAGGAGTAGCTAAAAATAACATCTGTGGACTTTTTTGTCATTTTTCTAATATTTTGACAGTAGAATAACCAGCTAAATAATGCTGTATTTCACAAGAATATTAATCTGTATATTGTAATTTAAATCTATTTATTTACATTAAATTTTAATGTTTTTCTTGCATTTAATCTTATCAGAAAACCTTTAATACTTTAATATGTACTCTTAGTACTGTGTTGGTGTGTCTGTGTGATGCTGCAGCACAAACAGGTGGGATAACAGTGTTAGACGTGAGTCAGTCAGTGAATCCCATAACATGTTTCATCAGTGGAGGCAGAGGCACAGTGTTGCTGCTCCTCCTGCTCCTCCTGCTCCTCCTGCTCCCCGTCGGCACATAAAGATTCCGTCTCAGTCTCAGAGATATAGCTGTTGTGCTTTTCTACTCCTTGTTATCTCAACCCTCCACTTAAATAGTTAGTTTGGTCTCCTCTCTCTGAGATGTGTGCAGTGGAGATAATTACAATTTCAGCAGCGTTTGCCAGGTGATTACCTCATAATCCCCTATTTCATTTGATAAGTCACGCATTGATTTAACTCTGAGTTGGACCTAATGGAGTATCTTTTCCACTGCTGCACTGATTTGTATGCCGGGGCGAAGGACAACGGTGGATTGGAGGCAGAAAAACACAGGCTAGGCCGTCCCTGCTCGTTCTGCTGCCTCTGCGTGAAAGACGAGCAGCGACGGAGTGGGTTTTAATCACAGCCAACTGCATGCAAACAGTAAATGACTGCAATGGCAGATACAGTAACCTGTGGCTGCATTTAAAACAGCTCCTCTCACATAAACAGTCTGTTGGGTTTTTTTCTCTTTCTGTTTCATCACCTCCTCCTGGAGGCAGGGAGGGGAGAGAGTGATGAAAATGCTGGATGAAAGATAAGGCGAAGGCAGACCTGCTTTGTATTCACCTGTCTCTCTGGATCAATAAAGGTAATTTGGGCTGATTCCTCCCTGTAGGCCTCTTAGCAGACAGAAGGGGAAAGGGTCAGCCACTGCTGAGCTGCAGGAGCTGGAATAACTTAGAATCTCACTGCAAATTACAGGCTTGTTTGAGAATCTCTCCTCCTCAGCTAGTCGTCTGCCTCCACCGAAGATACAGTGTAATACAAAGCACACAAAAGGCCTGCAGGTCTACGCAGCACGGAGGGGTGGGAGGGATTCAGTAATATGAAATACCAGAGGGTCAACTCTCCCCCTGTGACACTCCAGAGTATTTGCTGAAGACTTTTGGCAGATTCTTCAACAGAACATTTCAACTTTTTTGATGCATCTGAAGTTGGAATGTGCAGGAATTTAGGACAAAACATATCACCTCCTCCCCATCACAGCCCTCTAGGGGGTGCTATAAACATTGTTCCAATGCCCTAAAGTCTTTACAGCATTGAACATATACCTACCTACAAGAGAGCATAACAAATAAATACATTTAAAAAAATAAATTAACTCATATATAATCTCATAGAATACAATCTGTTGAGATAATAAAATTTTGTTTTTGCCACAGAAAAACTACTTTAAATAAATTTAAATTAGAGCTTGTCAACGGAGGGTTCGTGGCCTGTAGGAGTTCCACAAAACTACTGCAGGGGGTCATGTCATTTTTGGTTGTTTAGTCAATTAAATTATAAAATCACTCTTAGCCTCTCACTTATAGCCTTTAAGATAGAAATATTAATATATGAATATATTATTTAAATATCTCTCACCTTCAGTTTGGGGTCCTTGGCCTGGAGAGAAAGTCAAGACCCTTGCTCATAATTATTTGTTAAAATCTGAAGAATATTTTGTTTATAGTGCAGCAAATATGTTATAAGTAAAAAGGCGGCGTTACCACTGTGTTTGAGTGGAAGCAGAAATTGTCAGACTGATGAAAACAAACAAATGAAACTTGTTTCTCAGTAATTTGATAGATGTGACCATTCCTCTCTCTGACTAACAGCCCACTTTCTCTCCTCCAAATCCTCTAAATTACAATTGACACTCCAGCCTCCATTCTTTACTTCCTCGTCGCCTCAGTCCTCGGTAAACAGAAATCTGCCTGCTACCTGCTAATTACATCTTTCTGCAGAGGAAAACAATCCAAATTGTTCATTTTGCACCATTCAGTGTTATTTCCTCGCTGCCACCTTGAAGAGTCACAATCTCATTCCCTTCTGCTGAATGAAGAGATTTTCAGCAGCAGCACATCAGAGGCTTCCAGTAGATCGGAGCCATGCTATGGTAATCACATGCTAATCACAGTTAACACCAGCGCAGGGTCCTATACTCTAGATTAATGCATCCCTCGCATATTCACGTTTCCATTAGCATAAATCAGGTTCACCCTGCCTTTGTAATTAGTGTTTTCATGTGAATGATAATAAGATATGGTGATTAGGTCAGAAGTAGGAGAATGGAAATGACTTCAGCAGTTCCGCGCATGTTGGACTTTGAATGAGCTTCCTGCAGAAACAATTAATCCTGTTCAAAGATAATGGAAGTTTGATGAAGGAGCCGGGAAGGAAAAATGAAACTATTAAAAACGTGGGGTTTTTTCTTTTTTCATCTGCAGGACACTTGATATTTTCTCTGTTGTCTTGACTGTTGAATCACACCGAGGTCCACAGGCTTCAACACAGTCAAATTTGACAAAACTGCACTTTAAAAAATGTGCGTGCGTTTCTAAAAAAAAAAAGGAAGAAAGAAAAGCACTAATGCATAAAATCTGTTATTTGGTGGAGTCTTCTTAAACGCATCAATATTTCAAAAAGCTTTTAGGATTTAATACTTTGCTGGATTTAGATTTGTATTTTTTAGGGTCAAGAATCTTGACCAGGTAACTGGCTATGAACTGCATTTTGCTCAGTTCCTACACTCATTTGCTGTGTTTTACAGTTTTTACACCAACTGTAGACAAACAGTTGTGTTGACAAATCAAATCTTCTTCTGTTCCAGATGGCTGGCAGTGAACTACAATTTCCACAGCCGCTTAATTTATTATTTGTTGATTATTTTGTGCTTTATAGCTTTTAATACCTCCTGTTAATTAAAGCGTTATTTCAAAAATCAAAATGATTTATTTTCGAGGGTCAGACATCGGATCTTATAAATGTAACACAGCTCAGAACTCAGTCAGAAATACAATAATATCATTTGTCAAAGATGTGTAGACGTCTGAGACACATGTCTGAGACATATTTTAACACGTTTTAGTGATTACAATCTGTCCATTTTTTTTAACTTAACAACAGTTGTACAAACTCGACAGGTTGTGAACTGCTGTGAAAGACGACCCTTTGACCTTTTACTGTTTTTTTACTTTAGTTTTTACTTGTGCCTGAGCCACTGGACAAACGGTGACACTGCAGTTTGTTTCCTGTCACCATGGGGTTTTGGAGGATGATGTTAAGTTTGACTGGACTGACATCCAGTAGCTACAGCCTCTGCATCTTTTCCAGTTTGTCCTGTTAGCTTTAGCCGCCTCGTTCCAACTTTATTACTAAATTTTATGGATGTTTTAACAGTAGATTCTTTAAGTTGAAACCAGCGTACCATCTTGACTGGAAACAGTAGTTTTGACTTGTGATTTGTGCACATGCAGGTGCAGGACACACCTGTGTTAAACAGAGAACACACTCTTCAACACTGGATGGAAACCAGCGTTTGGAGTTCACTCCCTCTGTTGGCTTTGTTTCCCCGGGGACTTCACCTCACGCGCTGACAACCCTGACAGAGAGAATTCCAACCAGACTGGTGACCCCGCATGACGGACGACATCCTCCATGCCTATAACCAACCGATGAGACCGAGAGGCTGAAGCAGCGATCAGGAATGTGAGGTGAGTGGAGGGGAGGGGGAGACGGGGTTGCAGGGGTGGAGGGCTGGGAATAAAAGTCGGGAAAACTCACAAGAAAAAAGCCAACGTGGAGTAAAATGGAATTAGATTACATTTAAACTGCAAAAAAAAATCCTTCATTTGTTTGTTTTCTGTAAAGTGCTGAATGCACAAACTACCCCCCCACCCCACTCCCCCATTTCCAGCAGACAGTCCTATTTCCAGGTTAATTTACGAGGCCTGACCTGTGAGTCGAACACTCCCACCTCCAAACCCCTCCGTTCCAGGGGTATCTTCACCCCACTTTGAACTTCTTGGTCACCATCGCAGCTTCCACAGAACCACAAACATGAAAACTGATATTCATGACGAAAAACTTTTGGTTTTCCTCTCGTTTTTTCCTGCTTAGGGACAAGGTCAGGGCGAGGGTAGAGACCTGTTTGTTTCTTTCCTGGGAACGTTTCATATCAGTCGTGAAGATATAAGGGAGCGGTTAACACCAGTGTGTCATGTGTCCACGAGCCAGGGCAAGTCTAAAGTGTGGGTCTGGGGCCGATCATGGCACCTTGAATTTTTTGATGTGGTCCTTGGTTTTTACTTGAATCTTTTTATTTCATGTCATTCGGGTCGACATTTTAAAACAAATATCTGTGTTGCTTCTGATTTTCTTGGTTTTTATAAATATGTTTTCTCAGACTTAAGAGTGTGTATTTGTGTGTGCAACATTGTTGAACCAATTTTTTTTCTTCTCCAGTGACTTGACCCCACCTGACCTCTAATACACTCCTGTCCTTTTTTGTACTTTTACAGACAGTGTTAAACATTCTTTCATCTGCCATACTGCCAACTATCAAGTTTTTTATACATTACACTCTCCCCTTCTATGGGAACAGTTTAAATGAGGAGTTGCATCAAGAACTAAAACATTATTCTTCTGTCCTGCAGTGGCACTAATACACTCATCAAGTATATTTGCCTGGTGTGTGTGTCGACTGTTGTGGGCTTCATCCCTCTAACCCCGCTTTGATCCCTCCATTGAAGGGACCCAGACGTGGCCCTCTCCTCTCTGCGTCCCCTCGGCTTGTGCCTGCCTGGATTGCTGGGGATAGAGCGTGGCACGACGGCACCCCGACATGACACTCAGCAGAATGAGGCTATTGACGAGGCGACAGATTGGCTTTGAGTGTACCTGATGGTGATCCCCCCCCCGTCCCCCCACTTCTGCCTGCTGCTCCCTCTTCTCTCTCCCTCTCTTAACCAACCAAAGACAATCCCCCGTCTCCTATCTTTCTAATACAAATTGCCAATGTGTATCTGTATCCAAAAGGAGAGCTGATGTTGAGTGTGCTCCTTTTCTTCGTCAGGATTAGGCCCTGGTTTTCCCCTCTGAGCCCACTTTGGGTGATGGGGCTGATGGCGTTGGCTTAGGGGCTGCCTGGCAGAGATGGGGTGGCAGTTGGTCATGAGAGCAATAACTGGAAATGGGAAGATAAACAGTCACAGAAACAGTAGTGAATCACTGTGTTCCTTTGTCAGTGGTGATGTCAGTACTGATGGAGTGTGGGACTGGGTGGTGTTACGCCTGGAGCCTGCTGGTGGTCCGACCCCTGCAGCCCTGTGGACCCCTGAAAAAGTTTGCTGTGTTATAACATGAAGGTTTAGCTTTTAGCAGCAGTCTTGTCTAATTATTAGCTAACATTTAGCAGTTATTGGGTTTATTGTCAAAACAAAAAAAATGATTTTTGTGCAGCCTCATTTTATTTTTATTTTAAGACTTGTAAAGCTGTTTGTAAAATGCGTTCAGTGAACTGTAGATGTCTTTGGCTTCCTTCATGTCTTTATTTGCTTTTTTTTAGCTCTCCTCTGAATATTCTGGGATTTCTTTGAAATAGAGTTTTCGGAGTAAAATTCTAGTTTGAGAAGTCATGTGTTTGGATTGTGATCCAGTTCAACTGGAGTCTTTACAAACAGAACCAGTGAATGATCAGATTTAATAAAAGCTCTGCTGGCTAATGTTCACTCCCCCCCACACCCACCCCTCCCTTGATGGAACTTCTTTGAGACACTTTGTTGATGTCTTTCTGCTGTAGGATGCTCTGTGTGTGTGTGTGTGTGTGTGAGGGTGTGTGTTTGTGGAGGGCAGCGTTTCATCATTAGCTGAGCACGGGGTCATGTGTCTTTAATAGGTGTTCTCAGGTGTTGGTTCTGTCGTCTGCAGCTACGGCGATGTTTGCTGTTGGGAATCAAATCCTGGCTCTTCCCTTCCCCCATCGCCCTCCCTCTGCCCTGCTCCTGTCCCTCTGCAGCCCAGCTAATACCAGGCTCATTACAGCGCCATCGATCGCACCTCGCTGCACACCAAAGGGCAAAGAAGTCTCCTCTCGCTCCGTCCTCCCTCCTTCTCTTTTGTCATCCTCCTCTTCCTCTTTTACCCTTTTGTAATCCGCTCTCTTCTCTGAGTGCCCTTTCCTCCGCCGACATCTTGTGTTCCGCTATTTCCTGTCTGTTGATTGGCTTTGTGCCACAGAGAAGGAGATGGACATTTAAAAAAAAATGTTTTCTTCCTGGTGAATGTTACAGCAATTCAGCAGAACTAAGAAATGAGGAAATTATAAAAAAAAACCAACAACAAAGAAACGTGGACGTATACAGCTGCAGAGAACCACTGCCTTCCACAACATTTTCTCCCGTTCCTCTCTCTTCCTCCCTCCTTCCTCCCTCTCTATCCTGAGGTTTGGTGTCCTGTAAAAGAAAACCCAATTCATTATCCAAATCACCGTGACTGTATTGTGAAGGCTGTAGTGTCAACAACCTCTGAGGGACTTTGAAGGAACGGAGAGGTGTAACGTGATAGTTTCAGTGGATGTCGTCAGATCTGATCCCTGCTCACAGATGGCCGTGTGTTTTCTACATTCTAACATCAAGTGTTGGGGCTAAAACTTAAGGAGAGAAACTGGGGTTTAAAAGTTTCAGATTAGTTACATCCTCAGGATACTGTGAACGTCTACGTCGCTGTTGATATTTCATACTATAGGTTTTATATATCAGGTAAAAGACCCCCCCCCCCCAAAAAAAAAAAAAAAACGCCTTCACTAACCCTACAAAAAATGGGGAAAGATTATCGCTGGTTCACTTTTATATGTTTGACCTGAGGACACTTTTAGATTAGATAGAACTTCATTAATCTGTCGGAAATTCCCTTTAGGAATTTTTATTTTATTTTGTTTTTAGATTAGATATAATTTATAATCTTTCAAAATTGTAAAATTGTAAATTGTAGCCCTGGACTAATTAACTAAATAAATAACAAGAAATGAAATTAACTATCCAGTTACCTAAGAAAATAAGTAATGGAGTAAAGTTATTCAAAAATGTATCAAAAATAGCAAAAAAAGAATTACCCTTTGATTTTTAAAAACAACTGAATATTTGCATGGAGCCTTTGAATTAGCTATTATATAAAAATAGCATGAAAATGAATATTAAATATACTGTATATGATATAAAATCTATGTTAAAGTTGATGTTGGTGAAGTTAACCACACACCTGTTTTTGTCGTGCGTTTTTAAAGTGCTTTCATGTCTTGCAGCGAAGCACTTCCTCTTTGTTTTGACAGAATTTATTTGAATTTCTGCAGCTACAGTAACTCAGCCACGGGGTCGTGCGTCCTCTGACCTCCGACCTCACAAACTGTACGCCAGGTTTAACCATAATTGTTTGCATACCGTCATACAGCATACTTCTCCGCTCTCAGCGCGGTTACATATATATTTGTAGCCCTCCGGGCGAGTCAGCCACTGTCACTGTACACTTTGATACTCTGTGGAGTGCCAGCGCCACAGAGGTGCTGCTGGGTCTCCTGTTGTTAGCCAGGTTGGCTACCTCTGACCCCCCGCTACCTCTACATCTTTGTTTCACGGCTGACAGAAGGAGTGCCAGAGCTCCTCCAGCTCGGGTGATTTATGACCAGCAGCTGCCTTTGCAGCACACGGCCCACACAGCTGGGTGTCAGATGTGGGCTCCCTGTAAGCAGAAACATATCTGGCAACCCAACATCAGTCGAGAGCTGTGGACTGAGTGGAGAGGGAGGAGGGGGAGGGGGAGGGAGGTGAAAGTGAAAGAAGAGCAAAGAGGGAGAGGGAGGTAAGACAGATCATGGGAGAGAAATGTATGAAAGAGAAAGAGTGAAAGAAAGTTTTTTTTTAAATTTACAGTTGGCTTCTAAAGCTGCCTTAATATTTTTATTCAATTTTTCAATTTATTACTTTCCTTTTTATTTTCCTTAATTTAAAAAACATAAAAAATTGTTGTTTATAAAATTTAAGACTTAACACAAGTAACTATTTTTTAAGAAAAGCTCCAAATTAATAAGAGGTTTGTCAGTTTTAAGTGAGGCAAATGAAGTCGTCAAAATATAGCTAAAGGTTAGCCCCGAAGTAGCTCACTGTCAGCAAAACTATTATATAAAAAAAAAACCTAAAAATTATATCCATAATTTGTTTCTGTGTTGCAGAAATGGCAAATGGCCAAAAAAAGAAACTGCTAAAGGGTAAGGGACAGTTGAAGGTAGAATAGAACACGTTCTCAAACGTTCTACAGAGGCCTCAGCACCGAGCCTGGCTGAGAGAAGGTGAATGTTCTCCTCGACTCCTGACGTGTGTTTGGAGGCCATTGATTTGGACGCAGCAGCTCAGCTCTGGATTGATCTCTGCTGGTGTGGAGAAAACAAAATGTTTGGATTATGTCATAAGCCAATTAGCTGCAAGGAGACTTCTCTCCCCCTTTGCGCAATATTGACCCGCAGTCTGTGGCTGCAGCTTTATTGTCTGGGGGAGGGCGCTCCATAAAAGATCAATAACAGGCGAGTGATTGGATTATGGGCCAATCAATGCATTGTACTAATATATCAGCAGAGTGATTACAGAGCACTGGCTAATCGGGGGCCTTAGAGAGCTGTAATGACATCACACTCCTGCTGAGGAAAGTCTGCGTGTGTGTGTGTGTGTGTGTGTGCAGGTTGTTGTATTGTAGGGAGATGATTGGTTGGTTCTTCGGTCGCAGCCCAGGTCATTTGTCCTTGGGCCAAGAAAGTTTTAATAAATAGGAAATGTGTCCAATAAGCACAAAATATGGCAGTAGAAGAAAGAAAAGATGTTGTCAGAAAAAGCAGATGAGCAGGAAGTGAGCTGAAAAAAATAAGCTTGCACTTTACTGTTAAAATAGAAACAAAACGTTCATAAAGAAATTGCTAATTAGCAAAGAATGTGCAAGAGTTGCTAAGATTAGCCTAGAATAAAATTATTTTTAATGGTAAAACTAGCCAGTAATCAAAAACAACATGTGAGCAAAAAAACTTAAAAATGTAATTAGCATCAATAATCAGCTAAAAGTGAAGAAAAGTCACTTCAAATGAAATTAAGCTAAAGTTCAAACCCAAACAGCTGCGTTAGCAGAATGATCAGTGGCTTGTTCACAGTTAGCACAGCTAGCTAAAGTTAGCTAAACGTACTGTATGGCCTTAATTGCTGTAAATGTGTGTGTCCTGGCTGCGTCAGTGCAGGTGCACGTCACATGTGCACACACTGCACGAGTGTGTGTTTACACTGCAGGAGGTCGTGTTGTGAGGAGATGATGGGCTGATTTCTCTGGTTCTTCAAAAAGATCTGAGAAGTGCTACCAGATGGAGCTCAGAAGAGGTCAGGGTCACGTGATCGCTGCTGTAACGCGGCGACAGGACTGTAGTACTGGTCAACATGTGTTCAAACTCTGTCTCAGATTAAATTAAAGCTTTTTTTTTTGCTGGTATTTTAGACTGTTGTTTTATGCAATATCTCTTTCCTCTGTTTGTGGGGGAAAAATTCAGGCCAGATGTTTCACAACACTAACAGTTTCGTAATCTCTGCTTCTGATTTTCACATTCTGGTGTCGTCCTGAGACACAGAAGTCTGATATTTCATATTCTCTCGTGTTTTGACTTGGACAATATTCTTAA